CTCTCTCTCTCACACACACACACACACTTCAGCAGCTCAAGTAAGCTGTGTTTCTCGCTCTTCAGGCCTCCGAGTCGAAGCGAGAGCAGTTCAGGCGATATCTGGAGAAGGCCGGGGTCCTCGACAGCCTCACCAACGGTAAGAAGACAAGAACCCACCCAATGAACGAAGGCCAGTCCGCTCTTTTGTGTGTGGCTGATTTGATCTTCTGTGTTTCAGTCTTGGTGGCTTTGTACGAGGAAACCGAGAAGCCCAGCAATGCCTTGGAGTATCCTTACACTGCTGTCCGGAGAAATCAGCTGCTCCTCAAGCCAGAGTTCAGCCAGACCTGAAGAGCAGTCCTGGTTTACTCACCCTGGTGCTGTTCTAATGCCCTACACCCTTCTTTCTTTTTCAGGAGACGTTTAAAGAAACGTCCTCGCACACCAGTATCAAGCTTTTCTAAAGAGACGCAGAAGTGTCACCGAATGATCGTGTGTTCTGAGGGAATACAGTGGTTCTCCAGAGATAGTGAAGAAAGCAGACAGTTTATTGGGTCTCGTGTGCTTGTTCTGGGTTCGTCAGATGAACAGCAGTGCTTCTCAAACCCCTGAATTAACTCGTAAGCGGGTTAGACTTGAGCCGGGAGAAACATCAAATGCGCAGTGGTTTGGGAGAAAGCTACGGCCAAGGACAGGACATTTGTTAAATAATACATTACACTTCAGTTTGTTTTTCACCAAATCCTGTCACACACACACCTGAACACTTGGACTATACGGCACGTTTCTCCTGGGGTCATTCTCTGATACTTTTGCATCTTTTTTTTAAGATTGATGCTGATCACTATTAACTAATATATAGACGTTTCTTTAAATTTCCCCCTTGTGGTCTGAAAAAGAAAGAAGGGCAGTAAATGATGACTGGATTTTCGTTTTTGGGTGAACTATCCTTTAAAGTGTGGTGCTGGGCCAATTTACACCTGCAAAATACATTCATGTCTATAGTTACTCACGTGACTGGAAAGAGTTCATGCTTCATACATACCATTGTTCCCGGGAGATTTCACTAGTGAAACGGTGCTTTTAGTGCAGAAGTTGCAAACATCAGCGGCTGTGAAACAGGATAATGTTAATAATGTAAAACAAAATTAGATCTCTGCTATAGTATAATGAAGCTACACTGGACGTTCCTGAAGCAGCATGTTGCGTCACGTGTGCTAACACATTTGTGAATGCAGTAATGTCAAAGCTTGTGATGTTATGAAGATACGGAGTTAAATGACGTTAGATGTTAAGTGTGTTATAAAAATAAGACCGCTGCACTGAGAGTAATTGAGGTCATTTACACGGTTCGGTCAGTGGAAATGTGGGTCGTTTCTGAGAGAAGATCTCTGCTCTGGCACCATTTGAGCGTCAGGGTTCCGGCAGGTTAAACAGCCTTAACTAACCCACCCGTCAGCTTCATCAAGCATCAGCTGGGGGTCGGACCCGAGGCTGAGAGTCTGCGGCTGGAGCTGAACACTTTACAGCAGAAATATGATCAGCTGATGGAGCTGATGGAGGAGCTGAGGAGCCGGGTGAGATATTAAATATATATATATATATATATATATATACTCAAGCTCAAGCTTCAAACGCTGTGTAGAAACCGTAGTTCTGTGATCATGTGAATTACAGCTGCTGCAGTACGAGCCGGCGCAGGACGCGGGAACAGAATAACTACTACTTCTTGACATTTTGAGATATTTCTTCACCGCAGTAGAAATCTTTGAGTTTGTTCGTTTTGTCATGTCGGAGAAGTTTTTTTTTTTGGTTGTTGTTCAGCAAATTTGTGCCTGATATTTAATAAAAGCATTTTTTGCACTGTTCCTGATAGATTTCTGATGTTTGATGATTTATAAAACTACAAACTATAGTTCTGTTTTACGTAACAGTTGTACACTTGAAGACCATGCTAAAACAGGCCTCAAAGCAAGGGCTTTGTATAAAATATTGGGGCTTTTTATAAATACTGCATTGCTGTGATTGCTTACATCTAAGAAACTTGCAGTCACATTTAGACTGTTTTAAGGCTTCTGGCCCTCATTTCAAAGATAATATAGATTCCCCCAAGACTCCAGCAACAGGCAGTGATCACGTGCAGGACAAACGATGCTGACGCTGCGGTCCATTTGCTTTCACTGCTTTAGCTTTACATAATACTATACACTACCATATGTGATCTTTTCCACAAAACCCTGCACAGATCAGTAGCAATCCAAAACTTTAATGCAGGTTTATCAGTTGCATTTGTGTAACAGCCATATCCTACTAAATAACCTCATGCTTAAAGTGCATGACATAGTTCTGTGTTCTGTGATCAAATGAATTGTCAGCTGGCTGAAACTCTCCAGATGTCCATCACAGAAATGTGAAACTTTGTGACAGATGCACTGGATTATGGGAAGTAATCCCCCAGCTTTGTATCCTTGTCTTAATGCACATAGTTCAGTGCATGGGTTTGTATAACCCTTACAGAATCAGCGAGATACATATTTAACAACAACAAAGATATTTTATCTGCATAACTTCTGCAAGCTTATACAAACTTGTACTCCGCCTGTCTGCTATTTGCAGCCTCACTGCAATACCTATGCATTAAAACATCATAATCCTACAGATAAATGCAAATTCTCTTTTCATCAAAACAAGTCTTTAAAATGAGACTTCCTCTTAAAAAGCTTGTCTTCCAGGCCATTACAGCAGAGACCACTGTGCACATCACTGTAGACACTCAGATATGTGTCTGTTATAGATGGGTTGAGCTTAAAACATCTATAAATACAAAACCCAACAACACACAGTCACGACGCCTCATTCTTTAACGGTGAATACTGAAAAGCTCCCGGCTGTAAATAAAGCTTCAGTCCTTGTGTTCAAAGCGATAGTTCACCCAAAAATTATCATTCTGTCATCATTAACATGTATTTCCTATCATATCGGTTTCTTTCTTCTGCTGAATACAAAAAAAAAATTAATTTTGAAGAATGGGGGTAATCAAAGATCTGATGGTCCCCATCGACTTGCACAGTATTTATTTTTCCATTCTATAGAATCAACAGAGTCCATGAACTGTTTGGTTACATTCTTCAAAATATCTACTTTCATGTTCAATAGAAGAATACACGAGGGAGAGTAAATGATGACAGAATGATGATTTTTGGGTGAACTATCCCAGTGTTTCCCACAGGGTTTTGTGAGTCTTTGGTGGGTGGTCCTCGATTCCTCTAGGGGGGGTCCGGGGGCATGCCCCCCTGGAAGAAAATGTTGTACATTTTAAAGTTAAATTCATAAATCTGGTGCACTTTGACAGTTCAAAATTAAGAGCTCCAACACAGGTTCAGTGTGCAAACTAAAAGAAAAAAGCTGGTGAATGTACTTGTTCTTGAAATTTAAAGGGGACTCAACCCTCTTTTTAGTTGTGATAGTGTCTCAGTCTCACTGGTGAATTTAGAAGCCAAACAAATTAGAATAAAATAATAATAATAATTTTATATTATTATTCTTAAAAAATAAAAAAAGCCATTTGAAATTAGAACCAACCACTGCATTTGAATCATGATACAAACAAAGATACAAAGATGAAACCTGCATGAAACCGAAACAGACCGGCTGAATGAGAACGCAGATTCAGTCTCTGACAGCAGGTGGCGCTTATGAATCAGCAGCAATAAGAGAGGAAACAATAGGGCCTTTCGCACCGCTTTAGTTCCAGAAATAAATGTACAGTACTAAAGTACTGGGACGATTTTGCGCGAACTATTTCCCAGTACCATTTAAAGGGTTGCATTCGCATGGACAGTGTACGTAAGACGGTCGACACACAGTGACGTCATTTGTGCGCGGCGTTCAACAACAGAAACAAAGAAGAACAACATTAACAACAAGAGGATGGAGGACGCTGTGATCGGAGCTGTGTCACGGGTAGTACCAGTTGTGCTGGTTAGACCCTGCTCCGGAGTAGGAGCTAATTTGGTTCTCGAAAAAGGCAGTCCGGTACTAAAAAAGTACCCAGTTCCGGCGGTGCGAAAACGGCAAAAAGTGGGTAGTTCCACAATTAGTTCTGGTACTATGAAAAGGTTCCCGCGGTGCGAAAGGCCCTAATGCCATCGAGTCAGGTCCCTTCAGAAATACATTCATATAAACCCCAACCCCAATATTTATATTTTTCTTCCCAACAGTGAGCTTGCTGTGCCTGTACAGTATTTTCTCTGTGTGCGTCTGTTAATTTGAGGCCATGCTTGCAAGAGATAAACCCTTGAGCTTTTATTTTGGCGGAAAACTCCAGCTTCTGTGAAAACAGGTTTTCAAACATTACTAATTTAATGAAATACTTTCTCTGTGCGCATCTGTTAATTTTAGGCCATGCTTGCAAGAGATAACCTTGAGCTTTTATTTTGTCGGAAACTTCAGTTGAGCTTTTATTTTGGCGGAAAACTCCAGCTTCTGTGAAAACAGGTTTTCAAACATTACTAATTTAATTTAATACTGTAAACATTTGCCCATTAAAATGTTGAAAATTATGCAAATGTGAAAATAAAGCATAACTGGTGGCCATTGCATTCCCAAACGTGCGCCAAACTCACCGCACATTCAATAACGGAGTTCACTGCAGTCAGTGTGAACGGAGCTGCTCTGAGACGCGGAAAACACCGGATCACGAGCCGATCGCGTGTGCAAAGTGTGCGCTTCACTTCGAAACAAGCAGCACAAACAGACTTGATAAGTCATATTACGCTTTCGGTTTTAATTCGTTTGACGGATACTTGCCAAAGCAATGGCGTGAAACACAACGTTAAAGAACTTTAATGTTATATGAGAAGAATAAATATATCTTCGGTTTATTATGAAACTGTGGCGGGACAGATTAGACTGTGGCGGGCCGCCTAGTTAATGAATGGGAAACACTGCTATCCCTTTGATTAAGACTAAAGAGAACAGCTTGTAATTACTGTGAGAAACAGACCCTCAGATCTGCAGGTCGCTGGCTGCTCGTCTGCTGCTGCTCGCCAGTGAAGTTCGTTGCCGACTGGGTGAGAAGGAGGGACTTTCTACAGAACCATGTTCCCGTGAGCCAGAGCTGGGCTCAGAGTCCGGTGTTTGTGTCCCGCCGGCCCTCAGGTCGGCCCTGCCGCCGTCTCCGCTGTCCGAGCCGTTCCCTTCCACCTGCTGCAGTTCCAGGCCGGACTGGCTCGCCGCTGCTTGCGCGGGTCCGTTATCAGGAGGCTGCTGAAGCCTGCGCTCTCCGACTCCAATGGGAACCGCGTGTGTGTGACAGGGGAGCGAGTCTCGCTGCAAGCGTTGTTTGAATTGCTGTTGCGCTCCAGCAGACCGGGAACGATGTCCTTGTTCTCCCGCTGCACGTCCGACACGCCCTGGATGGGCACAAACGCAGACGAGGGGTTAATGAGCACGGGGTTTGTGGGTCCGTTGCCCTGTTTCTCCAGGAGCGGAGCGAATCCGCTGGGCGCCGTCGGGATTTGCGCCCCTGATGCACCACAGAGTTCTTCTTGGCACCGTAATAGTCGCCCAGGTCGTCTTTCAGGTGAGGATAGTAGTCCAGAAGCCCCTTCTTCAGTTTCTTGTAGGCCAGGTGCAGGATCTCCAGCAGGCTGAGGAACAGGGACGTGGCGGCGATGCCCTGCATGAACACCATGAAGCCGCTCTTCTCGGTGGGTCGCGAGATGAAGCAGTCCACCACGTTGGGACACGGCTCCCGCTCGCACTTGTACAGAGGCTCCAGGTGGTGTCCGTAGAGCAGGTACTGGCCCGTCATGAAGCCCACCTCCACCACGGAGCGGGTCACGATGTGCGCCAGGTAGGTCTGCAGCAGTGGGCCCTGGAGCGGAGCCTTGTTGAGCTTCCCCTGCTCCAGCTGCCGCAGCTCCCGCTCCACCCGCCGCCGAGCCTCCGCCAGCTCTGCCTCCATCGTCTCCAGCTCGCTCCGGAGAGCCACACGCTTGCAGTGACGCTCCTTCTCCAGGGCGCGCAGCTGGTAGATGGCGTGGCCCATGTAGACCAGCGAGGGCGAGGACACGAAGATGACCTGCAGGACCCAGTAGCGGATCAGGGAGACGGGGAAGGCGCGGTCGTAGCAAACGTTGCGGCAGCCGGGCTGCTCCGTGTTACAGATGAAGTCGGACTGCTCGTCGTTCCACACGTCCTCGGCCGCCACACACAGCACCAGCATGCGGAAGATGAAGAGGATGGTGAGCCAGATCTTCCCCACCATAGTGGAGTGGATGTGAACCTCCTCCAGAATCCCTCCCAGAAAGTTCCAGTCGCCCATCCTCACACGGACATCACTGCTGCTGCAGATGAGATGACAGCAGGATTCATACAGTTCTCCAAATCCAGACCAAATTTCACAGACAAGAAATACTAAATAGCTCAATACTCACCATTTGAAATAATCACTTTTCTAAAAGATATAAAAACACTGAATGAGGAAAAAGCGTTGGTCATGTTGGTGGCATGATCAAGATACATCTAACAATTATCTGAAAGAGGCTGCTGTTCTTCATTCGACCGGACGCTGTGGTTTGAGAAATCTAGGTCACTGCTAACTTTATATCCCGACCAAAGTAATCAATGCGATTTATTGCCGTGCCGCTGTAAAGGCCTGCAGGTCATTTGGACCAAATAAGTCTTCACTGTCCTGATGTAGTGAGACACAGCACATAACTCACAAAGCAATTATGGATTATTAATTAATGAAGTCCAGCTGTTAAGTGAAGCGACTGGGGTTCTGCTGTTCCTCAACATGCCGAAGCACCAACAGCAGCCGAGAGTGACCAACACTCCTGAGATCCGCATGAGTAACTAGTTCTCCATCTGTCGATGCTTATCCTGATTAACGATCAATCAGTCATGTCCGATTTCATACATGAACTGCTCTCAGAATCCAATCTCAGATTTTCCCTCAAGCCCGCCGTCTGTCGATGTTTTTAACCCCGTCATTGAAGAATCGATGGCCAGAGAGCGCAGGGTGTTTCGAGGGGGCGGTGCCTCAGCACCTCTCGACCAATCAGGAGTCCCGTGAGGCAGTGGATTGTGGGATGGATTTCGGTGGCGTGCGAGCAGGTTTATTGATTTGACAGTTTTGTGCGCGAGCAGCTGTTCACTTCCACGCAAACGACAATGATCATCTAATGCTGATGTTTTATGACACGTGTCAAAGGGCACTCATGTAGAGAACATGACGGTTCAATTGGGATTTATTACAACGTGTAAGACAAGACTATAAATAATTCCCCTCATGGCATTCCAAACCTGTACAAGTTTTTCTTCCATGGAACACAAAAGATTATATCTGGACTTTCATGTTGTATAAAATTGTATAGAAGTACATGGTATGATTTTTTTGTCTAAAATCTAAATATCTTCCTTTGTGTGACAGTCCTACACTCTAAAGAACTTGTGGCACCAATTTCCAACCGCAAAGGGTTCTTCAGATTTATTAAAATGTTCTTCACACCAAGACAAACTTTATTTTTTGAAAAGTGAACAGAAAAGGAAGGACATGAAGGTGTGTAAATAGCAAAGTTTAAGTTTTGGAAACTCAATCAGAAAGCTGAACTCACCGCTGCGTGACAACATACATGTAACTGGATTAATAATTACAAATTAATAAAAACCACAAGCACAAATGGTGCTAAATCAGCATAATTCCTTCAAAATCAAGACCTAATTATGAAATTAGAAAATTAAATCAACACGACAACATACTGATGCACAAGAAATTTATTTCATTCTGAGGTTACATGTAAAATGCCTGCAGATTTCACAATAAAACACATTCGAGACACTCATGGAAGACCGTTTCAAATGGATGGCCATTACTGCTCAACTAAAACAAAAATCTCTTACAAAAACATTGAAGCGATTTACATCTCTCATTCTGCACAGCTAGGCAAATGCAGCTGCGCTTGTAAACTAAACCGCAGATATCTTCAATGCTAACACTTTAACAGACGCGTGAGCTAAAACAAGCTAGTTTGATTCCCTCTGCTTATTAAGAGAAAGGAGCAGGTTAATGACCTTCTGCACCCAACCCACCAAACCTAAACAAAAACCAGCCAGTCGTCACTGAGCCTGTCGTCCGCCGGATCTAATGCCCCCAGGACTTGCGTCCGGCCCAAGAGCGCGAGCGGGACCTGGAGCGTGAGCGGGGCTGTGTCTTGTCTTCCGCAGCAGCGTCCTGGGTCTCTGCGTGGAGCTCGCTGGTGGATCTGGACCCGGAGCGGGATCGAGCTCTGCTCTTCGAGTGTGAGGGGCTCCGGCTGCGGGAGCGGTGGTGGTGCCTGCAGGAGTCACATGACCGCTCAGAAGAATTACAACAGTCACAATCCAGACATAAACTGCATTCATGCATCAAATAACACAGAGGTCCTTAGAGGACCAAAACGTCTGTCAAAAAAAGTTTTTTTTGTAATTTATTTATTATTTTTTAATAATTTATTAATATTTTATCAACATCAGTCCTGGGGCCTACGTGGCTAACTCAGTTAGCTGGATTTGCTTGTTGATGATTTCGCTTGATCTTGGATTGTTTGGTTCTTCGAAGCTCATCCCGGAGTTGCTGTCATAGCAACAGCTCCGTAAGCGTAAACCTGCTCGGAAGCAGCTTATTTAATGTAAACAGGATTAGATAGCATCTTCTTAAGCAGAACTGATACTTAAAATCTTTCCGCTACCACTGCTACTTTATTACAAGACTATCCTACTGATCCAGGGACAATAATTTAAAATAATAATCATTTAAAAATTAATTTAAAGATAATATAATAATGTTGTGTAGTCTTTAATACTATAGACACAGCCAGTTTTACTCACTGATTTATTAATCATAAAGTAATTACTTCATACTTGTATTCGAGTCTTACACACATGCTGTACAGATAATGAGTCGTGCATTAATTTGAGTGCTGACAGATATTATGGGAGTGGCTTGATGGAGCACAGGAGATGCAGATACTAAAGAAACTTTAATTAATGCTGTCACGTAACAAATCTGTTCAAATATAAAATTAAATGAATTGCTAATTGCTACATTGAAATAAAAATGTAAAGCCTGTACAAATATTAGAAATCGTGAATATAAATAATCGGGAATCATGTAAAATATTAAAATAAAATTATGTAAATAAAATAAAATAAAAACCGTAAACTTATCAGTAATAAGTAAATAAAATAAAAACAGTGCACATTTCATTTATCTATTATAACATTTATGTAGTTTTGTTCGCTTGGTTTCCTTATAAAGGTCCAGAAATGTGTCAAGTTTTTCGTCAGGTGTCTTTATTAATTATATGATGTCATCATGCTGCTGTCTTGCCGCCAGCCAATCGCTGCACTGCTGATCGTGGTCTCGAGTATCGATACATCGCCCCTTTTAAACCAACACATGGACGCGCAATTATCTCAGATAACTCAATCCAGCCAGACTAATCATCAACAACAGCTGCGCTCGAAGAACTGGATTAGCCAGATCCTGATTAGCGCGATCATATCATCTCGGATGTAATAAACGACGTACGAAGAACGGGCCCCTGGTCATAACTACCAAAAATTCATTTATTTTCAGGATTTCTATGTGAAAGATTCAACTTCTGCTGATTCAGTAACATCTTCCACCAAAGACAAAAGGCAACAAAGCATCTCCAAGAAACGTAACTTGAAGTAACTTTAACCAAACAAGAAATTCAGTTCAATACAGTCTTCCAAAACAGTCCAGATTGCTCTGTAATAGTGAAAGCATAGAACACAACTTTCACTTTCTTTTCTAAGAAAACAGAATTAACTGAGTGATAGTCACATTAAAGACAGACAATCCTGTCATCGTTTACGGAGTACGAGTTTCTCTCGGCAGCTGAACACAAAAGAAGAGATTTTGAGGAATGTTTGTCCGAACGGTTTCTGGACCTCATTGACTTCTATAGTATATCTTTCCATACTGTGGAGTCAATGGCTGCCAGCAACTGCTTGCTCAACACATTCTTAATTATGTCTTCTTTCATTCTTTAACAGAAGAAAGAAACTCATACTCCGTAAACTATGACAGAATTTTAATTTTGGGGTGAACTGTCCCTTTAACAAAGCTTATCAGTGATTTAAATTGTTATTATCCAGCTAACCACCTCAACATTTACAGTCTAATAGAAGTAATTTTATCCCTCTACACTGAGCTGTGCGATTACTCAAGAAATCAACGGAAAGCACGATTCATATTTTGGGCTCATTTGCTTGCCTGAATGTTTTATTAATAAACTGTACACCCATAAGCCACTGTAAGTGCTTTCTTTAAAGTGGCTTTCTATGGGAGGAAAATGCTTAACATGAAACTTTCATCTTCGTCTTCATCTTTTCTGTCAATAGTATGTTTTATTAATAAGGTGTGTACCAAATTCTGTCTTTTAATATTACCGTTTCAGTGAAATAACATATGCACACCATACTAAACAAGCTCAAAAAAAGCATAAAGAACTAACTGACGCCATCATGCATCGTTTATGGAAAGATTTCATCAATAAAGCTGCAGCTACTTCAGATTTGTGGTCAGGCAGAACAACACAGCCTTAACAACAGCTGCTTAGAAAGCTTGTGTACTGAACAGTGATATGGCGCTTTTCCACTGCGTGGTACGACTCGGCTCGGTACGGCTCAGTACGGCACGGCACAGTACGGCTCGGTTTGCGTTTCCACTGCAGTTCAGTTATAGAGTTAGTTCAGCTCCAGATCCACCACCTGAATCAAGCTTTAGGATTCACGGTGAGAACAAAGATCTACCTGTCGTGTTCTCGGCTGCGGCTGCGTCTGCTGCGTGTCCTTCCTCTGGACCTGCTGGGAGAAGCACACGGTCAGTGTCTGGATCCCACAGGACTGCGGCGTGATGTGTGGCGCTCGCTCACTCTCTAGGGCTCTGGGAGCGTCTGCGCCGCCTCTCGTAGGACGGGCTGCGTGACCTGCGTCTGCTGCGGCTGCGGGAGCGTCTGCGCCGCTCGTACTCCTCGTATCGGGAGTGGCTGCGAGGCGACTGATGCTCCTTGGACTTCATCTGCCCCGGCGCTGAGAAACACACCAGAGGTCAGCCTCAATCTCTCCCAGAAACACTTGCATCTCAGACGGCATCAGCACTCACTCTTGCGGTCGCCCTGAGCGAACTGGATCTCGATCTGCCGTCCGCAGACCCACTTCTGGTCCAGATTGTGCAGGGCGTCCTCCGCGTCCCGGACGTCCTCAAACGTGCTGCGCTGTTAAGGGCTCTAACTGAACATGTTCACCGCACTCACAAACAAACGCTTGTGTCCTGAATCATGGAGGATACTGGAGTTACCTTTACCTTCATCTTTACGCTCTTTAACCTGGAGCCGCCGCTCGTCTCGGCCCCATAATGCCTCTTTGTCTCTTGGAGCTTTAATTTGCTTTTCTTTCACACTCTGCCTCTCTGTAAGCAGCCATCTTTCTTTCTTGAGGCGGCTTGGCTTTTAGTCCTACTCTACACGGCTCTTTAACTGTGTCTTTGTGCCGGGCTCCACCAGGGGACGCCTTTACACAGTCTGGGGCGACAACAGAGAAATAAGGGTTAGACTGGAGCCCTGCGGAGAGAAGACTCAACACACACGCACACGCTGCACTCGCAGTCAAAGGATATTGAATGTATGCAAATCCTCTGGGCCGGCGAGAATAGAAGTCTAGGGGAACGTAGACATCAGCAACGGGCCCGTATCGGCCGAACTCTCGGCGCAGGTCCTCTGGCCTGAACACCGGGAAATAAACATCTTACTTTCTGAAAGCGTTGGGTTACCAAACCAACCCAGGACATACTCACCGCCATCTTAAAGCGACAGCTCACCCAATAATCTAAGTGTGCTGTTCGCTTACTCTCCCTCGGCTCATCCGAGATGTACGAGGATGTTTTTCTTCAGTTGAACATAGGGCTGGACAATAATTCAATATCAATATGTATCGCGATGTAATTTTTTTCAATAACGGTCATATGAATTTTAAACACATCTGCGATATTTCGATATACATTACCAGTTTCCCATACATTGATTTATTTGTGCCGTTTGACTTCGTTGAATAAACATGAGCTCTGCACGTTTCAAAATCATAACTCGGCGCGGGTGTTTTATATGAATGTATCTCTGAAGGGACCCGACTGTCTTCAGAAAAGTTTCGATGGCATTTTCATTTGATCTGATAAAGTAGCGTTCATGAGCGGAGCTGCTTTGATTACAGTCGTTACTGGGGAAACCGCTAGTTTTATCACTCTTAAGAGCGCCTGCTGCTGGCAGAGAATGAGTTTTCATTTTAAATAAGCCCGTCTCCAGCAACGTTTCCAGTTTTTGTTATTGTTTGATTTTTTTTTTTTCTGCAGCGACTCGGAGCACTTTTCATACCCTTTTTTCTGGCTGAAGCACATTTGCTTCAATCTATAAGAATAGTAGAGAAGGTTTTCAGCGGAAACCGGGATCCTTGGTGATTCATAAAATGTAAGTCGACAGCTGCCGTCAACCGCTTGTTTGGCTTCGTAAGACCTCCGTATATCGTCAGGAGTCACGGGGATTCATTTGTGTTCTTGATAGGATTTTTTGACTCTTAAAGTGACGGTAGCCGTTGACTTACATTTTATGAATCACCAAGGATCCCGGTTTCCGCTGAAACCCTTCTCTACTGTTCAACTGAAGAAAAACATTCTCCTACATCTCGGATGAGCCGAGGGAGAGTAAGCGAACAGCACATGATCATTGTTGGGTGAACTACCGCTTTAAAGCAGACAATAAACACACACGAAACACTGAGCGCTGGGCGTTTTAAAGCAGTATTCTGAGTTCAGCACAAGTTAAACTCGTTCCACAGGTATATTGCTGATTAAAATGAACACTGCATTTAGTCTCTTCCCTCGATAGAAGCAAACATCTGAATTACACGGAGGCTCTCCAGATGAGGCCCGTTTCTGGAGGATTTAAATGCAGGAATGTTTAGCGCGCTTGAAGAAAGCATTCTTTTAAAATTTTTTGTTAGGCATTGTATTGACATGGCGACTAAACTGAAAAATGGTATATATATGGTTGATAAATGATTTTACAGAGTATTTTAACATTTATCGATTTGCTGCCTGTTATTGCTTTTGTAGTAAATGAACTTGTGTGCTCATCATCATCATTATGCCACAAATGCTGTCCCAGAATACTCCTGTAAAGCCTCAGTTCAATAAAACTCTTCAGGACATGAAAGCAGTCTTGTAATAATAAATCTGCTTCATCTTGAGGTACAAACGTTCAACTCAAACTGCTTGTTATTGCAGCAGCATCAGAGACTTTATCACATGCCAAAACTTTATGATGGATTATGATCTGCTGATAAATCTGCTGACTTCGGGTTCTGAAAGGAGCATATAATAAGATATCAAACACCATTACAGTCCACGAGCCGAGAAAACTGCTAACTGTAAAGATGCACAGGACTAACTGGAGATAAAACAATAATATATAATACAACAATAATAACAATAACAACAAAACGCTGCGCGTGCTCTCGGTATCATTTACGCGCCAAACAGAATAAACCCTTCAAACACGTGCTTGAAACACATCAGAAATGCAGTATAATAACGACAGACAAAACACGATCGCCTACAAACATCAACTTAATGTGTGTGAAATATGTGTGAAGTCTTGTGAACGCGTGGAAGAATAAAGTTTCTCTTACCGGGACTCGTCGGAAATATTGCGGACGAACAGAGAGCTATTCGGCGGCCTCATGTACCGAGACATTACAGTTATTATTACAGTCTCTTACACTTGATTATAAATGACTTTTAAGAACGATTAAAGATTGAAATCTGTCTCGCTCCACGCGGCTGTGTCGCTTTTCCTTCGGCAGCATCGAGGCCTCAACCAGCCGCTGCGCTTCAAGCCGCCGAGAGTCACAGCGCCGCCGAGAGACGCGCTCCGGTACTGCAGCACACGCCTCAATAACACACACACCAGCGCGACATCATACAAACATAACCCAGCAGCAAAACAATAACGCTTCTTACCCATTCATTAAGAGTTGTTGTCCAATGACAAAATGTGTTTCAATATATTTTATTAGGCATGGTATTGTTATACAAACTTAAAATCTAGTACATTGTTATAAAACATTGAGAGATTGAGATTGTACCATAACATTTCTGGACATTGTTAAAATCTGTGTGTATGTGGGTGGGTGTGTGTGTGTGTGTGTGTATGATTCAATGAAGTTAAATGTTAGCCTACTTTTATCACAAGGTTTCTAAAAATATTTACTCAGTAGTTTATTGTAAAAGGTTAAAGAGTATAGAGTTAAAGTCGTTCATTAAAGGCGTCTGCTCCTCCGGACGAGAGTCGCGCTTCCGGCAGAGAACGTCTGGAAACACAAAGAAAGCAGCGTTATATCGACTGTACGCTGATATATACACATGAATGTTATATGGACAGATATGAAGACTTTAGACCGTCCTGACCTCGATCATCTCCTCGCCCTCAATCTCTCTCACGTGTGTGAATTTCTCCGACTCAATCACAATCTTCCCATCCATGAGTCGAGCTGTAGCCTGAAACACAAACTACTCAAACTGCTGCTTGTAAACGACTGAGAGCCTATAATGAGTTTATATGTGAATATCAACACATATCACGTAACACACGCTGCTGGCTTGTTGCTTGGTAACCACAGCTGTTTACAGACTAATTAACTAGTATTTATTCCACTTATTTTTCTTTTAAACATATTGAACTGTGCTGAGTTTTTCATTTGTAATAACCCAATCAGTGCGGTTTTGTAAGAAAAAGATTCATATTTAAAACTTTATAAACCGTAAAAAACTGTAGATTAGTGATTACAGTTTATAACATTTTGAATATCGGTATATTTCTTTCAAAAGCGCATCGATTCGCTTCAGGAGGCTTTTATTAACCCCCGGAGCTGTGTGAGGCACTTTTTATGATGGATGGATGCGCTTTATTGGTCTTCTTTTGGACTATTGAAAAATAACACCCATTCACTGCCATTATAAAGCTTGGAAAGGCAATGACATTTTTTAATATAACTCCGATTGTACTCATCTGAAAGAAGAAAGTCATATAGACCTAGAATGGCTTGAGGGTGAGTAAATCATGGGGTAAGTTTCATTTTTGGGTGAACTGTCCCTTTAAATGCCGCTACTGTTTAGTTGTGGTAACCGCGAGTCGACTCACACGACCGAATCTTCTCCAGTGAATCGTTTGAATGAATCACCTTGATCTTCTGGCCGTCCATGGTGTTGAACTCGCTCTCAGTGCCGATGCTGAAGCTGTTCGTGATGCTTCTCAGAGGAGTTTTCACACAGATGATGAACTCATCTCCGTTTTGCTGAATGGTGGTCAGAGGTTTGACTTCATTCATCATTTTAATGTAAATCTCTGGAGCGGCTGCTCATAAAAACACACGTGCATCACTTTATATGAAGAACATTCACAGAAATACAAGAGAAACAGAAGACTGACACTGAAACACTGCAAAATATGCTGTTCTTCCTCAGTGTTTCTGTCTTGTTTTCCATGTATTCCAAAATACATTTACTGGAGATGTACAATGACTGAAGATGTTAAGTATTGTTTTCTGGAAAAGACACCAAAATTAAGTGAGTTTTTGCTTTTTTTTTTTAATAGTAAGATTAGCAAATATTTCTTCTCACTCAATTCTGATAAATTGAACGAAAGTTAATATGTTATATGGTCATGTGGCTTCTCCAGTAAATGTATGCTGATTTAAGGGTTTAGATATTTGTACAGAAAACAAGAGAGAAACACTGAGAAGCGAAAGCACGAATAATGATGTGATGTGACTCACAGACAGCTCTGAGAAAGTGCTCTGCGTTCTCCTGCTCATACAGCTTCCAGCGTCCACTGAAATCCACAGCCATCATCCAGCAGCGGTGCGAGACGAGCTGAAGATGAGATGTGCTCCTGTGTTTGTGATGATGATGGAGATAATGAGTCTCAGGAGTGAGTCTCCACAGCGATGCTTCAGTCTCAGAGGAGTCTCTTCAGTGCCTCGGGCTTTACACTAAACACACAACACCTCACTTACTCTGAAATACAGCTAACATGTCCCAAAACACACGTCCAGCAACATCCCCCAAAGCTGATACTAATCTGAATATACAGTAGGAGTCAAAGGGTGGGAAAAATAAATACAGTAAAAACTGTGAAATATTATTCTAATGTAAAACAGCTGTTTTCTCTGTGAATATCTGTTAAACTGTAATGTATTTCTGTGATGCACAGCTGTATTTTCAGCATCATTACTCCAGTCTTCAGTGTCACATGATCTTCAGAAATCATTCTAATATGCTGATTTGCTGCTCAACAAACATTTATTATTATTAGCAATGTTGAAAACAGTTGTGCTGCACAATATTTTTGTGGAAACTGATACATTTTATTTTTCAGGATTCACAGATGAACAGAAAGTTCAAAAGAACAGCATTTATTAGAAATAGAAATATTTTGTAACATTATAAATGTCTTTACTGTCACTTTTGATCAGTTTAATGCAAACTCGATGAATAAAAGCATTTATTTCTTTCAATGAAACCTTAACCCAAACTTGTGAACAGCAGTGCAAATAAATGAAGACGTAAGTTTGATGTAAACTCTATCTGAATAATAATAATAATTAATTATGTTCTGATCATCCTAATAGAAACTTTTCTACATTTGAGCTTTTTTGTCTAGATAACAACACAAGCGCTTGCAGGAGAGGCTTGAGAATCACAGGACCTTAGAGAGGACAAGATCTCACACACTTACAACGCATGCAGATCAGTAGAAACAACGGTCTAATCGTTTCCACTGCATGAAACACAAACAAGCGCAGTTAGTCTCTGATGGACGAGCTCCTCCAGCAGCTGATCGCTCACACACTGAGGCAGCTTCTGCTCCTCCAGAGAGAACGTCACGCTGGGTCTGTCTGCAGGAGAGCGTCAGCATTCACGGCTCAAACACTGCAGTCAGAGAAGAGCCCTGGTCAGATCTGAGAGGCTCACCGGACTCGACGCGCGCTCTTCTCGCTGGAGGAGACTCTGGAAGCGCAGGAACCGTCAGGAAGTGGCTCATCTGTGAACCAGACGCCAGACGTTACTCACACACACTCATACTGTACCAATCATCATTTCCTTCCAATCTGACCGTGGAGGCATTAGCACTGCAAGACTGGTCAGTAATGAATCCCTACTGTAAATAATCACACGTACAGTGTTCATGAGTTATTCATTTATCAGCACCTGGAACAGATCATGAACATCAGAAACATCTGATTCAGAGACGCTTTCATTGAAAACCTGCATTAACCTTTAGAAGTCAATCTAGAAAAGTCACACAGAAGTGCTTCGAGGACAAAAATGTGTCTGCTTTTACTAACATCAGTCATGATCAGAACTATCAGAAATACATTCATTTTTACACTTTTTGCCCATTTGTTTACATAATGCTACTGTTGTTGCTGTTGTTGTTTTTATGAAAGATCAATTATTTTCCATATACTCAATACTAAGCAGACTCTTTTGTTTGATTATTAGTCTTGGATAAATCAATGATTAGAAACAACATACATTTTGATGCATTATTAATTTTTGTGCAGTGTCAGATTAAACAAAACAAAAACAAAACCAAAACTAGTATTTGCTCCAGCGGCCAAACCTGAGAAAATGGTGCTGAAAACCCAACAGAATGAAAGGCTTGATTTGATGCTTGAATGGCACTGGCAGTAAATATTACAGTTTTAATGGGTTGCAATGGGGACTTTTTTGTCCTTTTTTGTACCCACTGTAAAACAGGTTTATGAAAGGAAACGAGGGTGAAACATTACAATTCCAGTACACACACACACACACATATTTTTGACACAATAATGCTGTTTGCAACAAACACAACAGCTCAAGCTCCAGTGTTTTCAGATCTGCTGGTTTAATGGTTCATGTGTTTGTGCATCACTCACTCTTCTCTCCATCTCCACGCGCTGCTTCCTGAGCCGCGTCTCGCTCCAGTCGTCGTCCTCCGCGTCAGGCTTCAGCGTGTGCCGGCTGTACGAGCGCAGCTAACAACACACACAAACACAAGCAATACACTAGATGACAATATATTCACGCAAAAATACAACTTCCAACAAATCTCTGTTACTTTTAAATTAAACACCTAGAATCTGGAAATAACCTTTCTGAGAGATTTACCGAATGTAACTGATACAAACATGTCAGTGGGGAATGAAAACTTGTTTACTCTTTGAATTCAGTTGATTATTCTAAACACATTGGCAGATATTTGTTCTTGTTTTAATCATAAATTTACTTCATTTTGATCAATTTCTCAGTAAGTCAGTGTGTGTGTGTGTGTGTGTGTGTGTCTGTGTGTGACTGTGTGTGTGTCTGTGTGTGTGTGTGTGAGTGAGACTGAGTGTGTGTGTTTGTGTGTGTGTCTGTGTGTGTGTGCATGTTTATGTGGTTTATGAGGAGTGAGAGAGTGTGTGTATGAGTGTGTGTGTGTGTGTGAGAGAGAGTGCGTGTGTGTGTGTGTGAGTGTGTGGGTCTGTCTGTCTGTGTGTGTCTGTGTGTTTATGTGTGTGTGTGTCTGTCTGTCTGTGTGTGTGTGTGTCTGTGTGTTTATGTGTGTGTGTGTGTGTGTGTGTGAGAGTGCATGTGAGTGTGTGTGTGTGTGTGTGTGTGTGTGTGTGTGTGTGTGTGTGTATGTATGTGTCTCACTCTCTGTCGGGTCTTCTGCAGGTTTCCTCGCAGGATCTTCCTGATTTCTTCTTCTCGTTCTTTAGAGATGTTGAGCGTTTTCCGGCTGCGCTGCCGTCTGCACACACACACACACACACACACACACACACACACACACACACAGATAAACACACACACACACACACACACACACACAAACACACAGACACACACACAC